TTCGAGCGGGAGTTCATGAGAAGAGCAACAATCAACCCGTAAAGACCTGAGGGGGGAAGTGGTTAGATGCGATTATACAGCTTAGTATAGGGAGCAGCCACGACTTACCCAAGACTTCAGCGAAAATGAGAATCAGAATCATTCCAACATAGAGTCTAGGCTGTTGAGCCGTTCCACGCACACCCGCATCACCAACAATACCAATAGCGAAACTGCAATCGAGGTCAGGAACAAAGCTCTAGAACAATGGGAGACACCCTGTGTCGCAGCAAACTTACCCCGCAGCAAGACCAGCCAGACCGACGGACAGACCAGCACCGAGCTGGATGAAACCAGTGTAGAGAGGGAGCTGCTGGGTCAAGTCGTTGGCGACCAGGACCGACACGACAAGACCGTAGATACCAATGATACCCGCCATGACAATGGGGACAATGTCTAGAAACCGAGTCAGCGAATTGTTGCCAAAATCCCTTGCGCGACGCTAGGAATATGCCATTGCCAGATCGGTAGAGCTTTTGTTGAGATCAACTTACTCTTAACGATCAGGTCGGGGCGGAGGACGGCCATGGAGCAAACTCCGACACCAGCCTTAGCAGTTCCATATGCGGCACCGAAGCAGGTGAAAACGATAGCGGAGGTGCAGCCCAGCGCACCAAAGAAGGGCTAAAGGAAGAAAGATTAGTTATCATGCCGATGGATTGTGAGCAGGTGGATGACGCAGAGGAGCCGAGACACGGGCGATTGACTCGGTTATGCTCGAGTGTCGGGATCTAGTGTGTAATAAGACTCACCGCATAGACGGGGCTGTCAAAATCCAAAGGTTAGCAAAATTGATCCATAAATTCTAGAGGGCTTGATAGCAAGGTGTCGATCGGAAGCTGTCGAGCACCCAGGGGCTGGAAGGTCTGGCTGACGACTTACCAAAGTTCGGTTGCCATTTTGATGAAAGACGACCCGACGAGGTTCTCGTGGAGTAGTTTGAGCTTTAAATGAAATAGAAACACCCGAGGTCGGCAAGCTCAGTTGGATGCGGTCGGGGAGGATGGAGAGTCCAGAGGCCTGGAGGTCGACGGCAAACATGCTGGCCTCTCTGGGTCACGTGTACTTTCTTGGCATATCCACCGGGACAGGTAATGACTACAGCATATGTGACATGTATAGATTCAGCCGAGATTTGTCCAGTTGGTGTTACATATGTATGTATTGCATTATTGTACATGTATCAATTTTTTAATACAGTTTCGAGGATAACTCGAGATCCTGGAATATTTAGCTTCGTGCACGACTCTGACACCATTTCTCCTTTGATGGGTTGCGAGTAGGCAATCGCCTTCTCGGACAATGCTCCAAAGGTGCGAGGCAGAGAAACGACCCCATTGCTGTCTTCATCCATTCCATGTGTCTCAGGTTCCATAGAGTCTACTACCATTCCAAAGAGATAGCTGATAGGCTCTTCCTGCGAGTCATGATTGCTTGAAACATTGCCCTGTGCCCCAGTCGGTTCTACCGCCACGAAGAACTGAATATAATCCCCCGCAGCAGCAACCTGTGAAAGGAGAGATAGATCATCTACAGTTATTCCCTTATCAATAGAAGGGAGTGTGTCCAACTGTGTGGTATCAGGATCAAAAACTTGACTCAATGTGATAAGATCGTCATGGTTGGCAGTCCCTGAGAAGCTGACTTCGGGATCCAGCGAAAGGAGGCCTTGCTTCTTTCCCCATCCACCTCCTCCGCTCATGACACGGTGCAATTTCCCACCATGATGCAGAGATTGGATCAAGCGATCATGAGTAGATGAACCTGGATCAGCCACCTCCAAGTCAGGTTTCTCGACAAGCGCCCATACGGATACACGCTGGTCAATAATATTATGTTCTGCGATATAACGCGGGAGCTCCCTCTCGAGCTCCGAAGAAGCAGGCATTGTGTCCGTCGACGTCAGATCCGTCGATTTTGCTAGTTGCCGTAAAATATTTCCCATGCTAGTCATGACTCTTCGTCGCTCAGTCACGGGATGCAATGGCAACTCTAATGTAGTATCTAGAGCTTGGGAAGTAGCTGTAACCATGCAGCTTGTGAAATCCATCGAACGGTCCAAGGTATATCCGTTTGAGGCCTTATCCCAAAGCCAGCGTGTACCAAAGATTGTTGTTTCTCTCCCATTGACAAATATAGTGTTTGCTAGGCGCAATCCGATCTCGTGCGCAGGTCCCTTGCCGGTTGGGCCAATCACTTCGGGTTGGAATGAAAACAACAGATTGGTTTCCTCGCTGGCAGAGCTTCTGATAAGGCGGGGTGGTGCAACCTTTGCCTGGACACCTGATTGCCCTACGGCTAGAAGCGATAGCCCTTCGGACTCACTCATATGTGGGCTGTCGGGTGCAGTATTCGGGAGTGCGTCCACCACAGCTGTAACTGCGTAGAGGGTATCATTTCTCGGGGAGTTTCCGTAAAGGCGACTGAGAAATTGCGACAAGAAAGGGCTAGAAGAATCGAGCCAGTGGGCGAAGCTTGGGGTGACGAGGAGGAGAGGGACGGAAGCGGGCGCAGATGATAGGCTCACAAGCCCTGAAGGAAAACTGGACAGAATATCATCTGGGGTCTTTTATTATTTAGCTTGCATATCAAAAGTGTAGAAATGTGGAGTTTACTCACTGTCTCTTCTGCTGTCTTTGTGAGCCATGTGTATGCAAAAGGCTGCCCATGTGTCGCATAGCATCTATTTGCGCGACCGAAGCTTCCAGGGGCATGGAAGGAGCCCAGAAGCTGCCAGCGTCCTGAATTGAGGGCTACCCTCATCTGTTTGAATCTCATTGACATTGAGATATCAAGGTAAAAGCTGACCCAATTAAGAAAACGCGGAAGTCATTGCGGAGGATAGTGGGTCAGTTGCGGAGCGGAACATCTGTTTTCACCGCAGTCAGCACTATGTAGAGATCTGTACAATATACAAGTACTATAACGCAACGTACTTGACATGAGCTCCATATTGATCTATTCGAAGTTGAGCTAAATTAATTTTTGATGCGGACCAAAGGGTGTGAAAATGTGAAGCCTAAATGTTGTAGCACGCTAACTCCATTTAAGTACTAGCCTCCATGGAAAACTGCGGATCATCGCATGGATATGTTCTCCTATTTATACGTAGAAAAGTCGTCAGTACATTTTATCCGTTTTACTGTATTTTCGTATTTCTAGCTATGAAATCGACAAAAGAAGAAGACGCCCATAACAACATCGAAAATGACTCGGAAAAAGACTACTAAAAAAGGCATGGCAAGGCTACATAACCGGCTGACATTTCTCGTCGACCTTATACTTATGCACCCAGGCTTTACGTGGATTCGAAGTATTGACGATGCAGTGCGGTAGTCATAGCCGTCCGATTACAATGATGCGCCGGTGGAATCCACGGTCCTTGTCGTGCGAAGTCTGTGGAGAGAAAAAGCGCCGCTATAACCAAGCCCAGCCAAACTTCAACTGTGTGCAAGTGCAAGGAATATCCCGCGTGGATACTCTGTATAAAGCCCCAAGTGCCCTGGAGATCAGAGGGCTTTTCAAATACCAGCTCTTACTGGCAAATATCAAACGGCCACCGGCCCGGCTATCCAGGCTTTACTATGGTGAGTATCTCATCACACTTATGGACAGCATATATCAATTCATTCTCGGGGGTTCCCCAAAATGGTGTCTATATCTTCCATACGAACGTGAACTATCCAGCCCCACCCCTGACGTTGAGGCTTGAAAGTCCAAGGTGCCTACCACTTACAAGACGCTAGAGAAGTTGAAGGGGAATCTAGACCACTATTCCAGGAACATGCAGGCGCTGCTGTCAGACACACCACAATAGCAGCAGCACCGTACACCAAGTGTGCAGCGTGGGTCTCTTGCAGAAAGTAAGGAACCACTTGTAGCGACTCGCGAAACAAGGCTGAATAATAACACACACACTAGTGGAAATCAGGACCCATCGAACCGTCAATGACCAATGATATTGGCAGTTAGATGGACATCTATGCATGGGGTTGCAAGTGGGGACTTAACCGATGACATTAGGGAAGGAGCCTGGCAATTAATATTTTTGGTCGGAAAATGATATATAAAACCGACGTGATCAGTCGATTGACTACGATATGTATAGTGGGAATTTCCCTTCTAATTTGATATAGAACGCGTGTATATAGTCCGTCGCATTAGTTCCCATCCCTTTATTCTGTCACTAACCTTGTCCCTAGCCACTTTTCTGTTTCAATGAAGTCATAAACGCCGACCACATGATACCAATACCAGGCGCCTTGGCAGGTGGGGGCAAGGGGGCCCCATCATAGGGCTGAGCTGTCTGGCCACGACCGGGAACTTTTAGCGTCACCAATTGTACAGCAAGTACTTGGCAGCCTAACCAAGTAAAGATTCTCGCCAAATTTGGAAGTGACGAAGTGACGGTGTTTGAGATCGTCACCATCATGAGACTTAGACTGCGGCATAGGCGCATAGCTACATACTATGTACAAGTAGGTAACAAAGAACTCTGTACGGTGTACTGTACAACATGCAGTCAAATATAGAACATAAAAAATCGAAAATCGAAATGCAGGATAATACACAGCGCCAAGCTTCCTCTAGGCAGCGAGCAAAAGAATGAACGGGATAGGTGAGAGAACCTTGGTGGGTGTTGGTCATAGCCGCCATCACAGAAGATCATTATCTTGGCAACCCGGGACAGAATGTAATAATACTTGCTTGAACGGAGGAGTGATTACCAAGTTAATATTAAACCCTTGGAAGATAAAAAAAGAAAAAAGAAGAAAACAAACCAAAGCAAAACACTGGTCATAGTCTAAGCCACATTTGTAGCCTGTTGGTGCCTTGATATGCCAAGATGGTGTTTTTTTTTCTCATGAGCCACACCAAAGGTGGCGGGCCATGATGTAATGACCCAAGCTCTCTCGGGTCCTCCCCTTTTAAGACTTCCCTCCCTCCATTTTCCTTCCCATTTTTCCCCGTTAACATTTCAAACCTCCATCAAATCTGCCCAAAATGCCTTTCACTGCTTCGTAAGTTGTCTATTGTCTTTACCATGGGCTGTGGCTTCTACACTCCGAGCTTCTACCCTGTCACCTTGTCACCCTCACCCTCGGCAGCCCAAGTCGCGTTGTTACCTGTGAGACTATGTCCAGTGCACTAATATCGTCGATAGCGACATTTGCAAAATTATCTTTGCCATTATCCTGCCTCCTCTGGGTGTCTTCCTGGAGCGCGGATGTGGTGCTGATTTCCTGATCAACATCTTATTGACCATTCTGGGATGGATCCCCGGTGTCATTCACGCCATGTATGTGTTGATTTGATGGGTTTCCAGCCTTTTGTGACAGCTGCTGACCATATTACAGCTACATTATCTTCAAATACTAGAGATACCCACCCACACATCTTCGCAACCAACGCTTTCCAAGTCTAATATCCCTTGGAAGTGAGCACTGCGACCAATTTCACATCAACCCTTACCCTTGCCTTGCGCTTTGAGTAAGGGTCAGTGCGATTCGATAATTTGAACGTCGGTGCCAGCATGATTCCGTGGAGGTCCGGTTGAGACTAGCCTAATGTAGCCTCCCCCGCTTGGCATTCGGTTCGGCACGAGTCCGACATGATGTCCATAATTCCCTAATATTTTGTTTGTGGGGTCGCATCGTTATGTTTTATTTTACTTCTTTTCCTTTGTCTTGCTTGATATTGCGGGTTCTTGCTTTTTCTTGAATGATACCAGCTCACACGGTCTGACTCTGGGGCTTCGTTGTTTCGTACCAATGCCAGCCGTTGGCTAGTCTTTCGGAATTCATGGGAATGGGACTTTTACTATAAACCAACGAGTTGCATGTGCGTAGGGAGAGTTTGGAAAAGAACGTGTAAATTGGATGTTTCTAGGTACGGGGTACTCCATACAGTACCTAGAATCCCTCACAACTGGCAAAAGAGCAAATCAAACAAGATTTGATCGTAACATAATGGGCCCTGGGGAATTCAACGTCTCTATTTGAATATTTCAAGTGATTGGGGCAAAGCGTTACATGAGGTGGGTGCAACTGCTCCGTAGACTGTTCCGGGGGCATACCAGGGTAGCCCTGTAGCAACTCCCGAAAACAAATTAGACAGACAGGAAGCAGGCAATTTTAGGCACTTAGACCATCGATTCCGAATCTCTGAGCAAGTTCAACTGTTCCAGGAACTCTTACATAAACCATCGTCAGGCGTCCCTGGAAGTAACCTGCAACTAGTTAAAGCGAACCCAACCACAACGATGTACAGAGCACAGCGTTGAATTGCCCAAAATAATAAATACTAGAAACTCCCCCACTAATTCTGAGAAATCTGAAACCTAGCCCGGCGCTATCCACAACTTGTTCTGCAGCCTAAGCGCTTTCGATGGGCCGGCGCGTATCGGAGCCGCTTACTAGGCCCCATCCTGACAAGGCGCTTTACCTCCACAGCGATTCGTCCTAAGGTCTCCGGGGAAGATCTTACTACTATCTGAAATGCCATGCGGTTTCACTCTAGCGCCTATACATACACAGCCTCGAGTAATGTGTTTCAGAATGATGTCGAAACGCAGATACTTGGCCCCAATGGTCGATGGTACTCATGGATAATTCTGCCTCGCGCGTAGGATGATGTCGCGCTCTGACTTGGTGTTTAACTAGATTGCAGTCCCCCTGTTGGTTGTTTGCTTGACGTTTACTTCTTCTTTCTGGCCTTGTATGCTTGTTTTGCTACCTTCACGCCATTTGGTACTCAATTCGCACACATACCTACCAATTATGGTAACCACATGTACAAGTTTTCACGGGTAATCACTCCCATGCAGGAATCTACAAGGTTAGTTGATGGGATAAGAATACATGACATATCGTCGCTCATGGTAAGCGTGTATAGGGCTACCGCAGCATGCTCCTCCCTCCTATCCACAGGATACTCATCGCGATCCTCCTCTTACTCGCGCTCTGCTCTGCCGTCGAAGATACCTCTAGCGATGCATCAAACCCCGTCCTGTATGACATGGTCCCGGACTGTGCCAAGGACTGCGTTGATAGTTTCATTAAGTCCGAATACACACCCATGGAATGCACGTCACCGTCCAATATCAAGTGCCTTTGTCGCACCAGGACAACTAGTAGCTTGACATTGGGGGAAGCCGCTTTGAGCTGTGTTCTGTCTGTATGCTCACAGACAGTCATCGCAAACTCAACGGCTTATCACATATGTGACTCGGTATCTGAAGCTCTTCCGAAAACACACCAGACGATTACCGCGACGGTCTTTTCTGATATGAGTACAACGATGACGAGTGATGCAAAAGCTACTACAGAGACAACATCAACCAGCTCAACTTCGACAACTGTACACACCTCGGAAGTCTCTGTGACAACATCTACGGCGACATCGGCATTGACACAGACACCGACGTCAACTACTTCCAGTCAAACTTCTGAAATCACATTTTATGACGCTTCTTCATCTTCAGGGTCCCAAGCTGAGCCAACGTCCTCCGCTGAACAGATTTCCAGTAACTCTTCTGAAGATACGAATAAGAAAGGTGATCATGGTATCACACCAGCGGCGGTCATTGGAATGTCAGTAGCATCAGGTGTGGCAGGGTCTTTCATCATTGGGGTTGCTGTGTATTTCTGCTGCAAGAGATGGCGACGAAGACAGCGGGAACAGGCAGCGCCACACATTTTCGAGATCGGAGGCGCCATGGCTGAGCCCTCTGACTTTTTGAAACCGATGCCACGGCTCCCAACCGACGGGTTGGGTCTAGGGTCTTCATACAGCCCAACGAGTGACCGCCAGACAATGTTACAGCGACCACGTACTTTCCATTCTATGGCAAGCGTCCAACCACCATCACGATACTCACCGCAATCTGCCACGGTACATGACTTAGGCCAGGGCAAAGAACCCAAAGGGCAAGAACGAATAGGGTTTGCCATCAGCTCCGACTCGGACTGGGAACATTCACCCCGGACACAATCGTCACAGCACAGCGTAGCACGACTACTCCCAGATCCTACAGCTGGACTATACCCAAAGCCACTAAAGTGGAGTCATCGGCCACCTAGTGGAGAGACTCTGTTTGAAGAAGACGAAAGTCAACAAGCGGCGGCGGCAGCGGCAGCAGCAGGAATGATGCAAAACAAATCCCCAAGGCCAGGGGTCCAGCCGAAACTCGCAGGACTGCCAGCCAATCCACGCGCATTCAAAAAGGGATTCCCAGCAGGCAACTTTAAACGAAGATCAGGAGCCCCGAGTGTCCTGGCACCTCCATTCAATCCCAATCCAGCATTCGGAACCTCGTCATCAGGAAACAGCGCTACACCAAACGAAACATCCGAAGCCTCACAAACCTCCTACTCCTCCCCAAGCCCAAAACTCCTCCTCACCACCCCCGTCAATACTACCAAGACCCAAACCCAGAACAGGAGTCTATCACCAGGACGACAGACGCCTCAACCATACCCCACCCCATCATCATCATCAACCCTCCCCCCAGGCTCGGAGATAGTATCCAGGCCGCGAATTGTACGTGGAAACGACATTAAACGTGTCCATATCCGCAACAGTCCACGACCGCCCAGCGAAGTCATCGCGCCATACTGCCCAGATGACTTGTGGCTGGAGCGTGGACGCGGCATCCCACCGCCGAAGTCCCGAGAACCGTCTGGGGAACTGCCGTATCCGTCAGATATGTTTCCGGGTGCTGTACATTATCCTGATAGTCCGAGGAAGAAGGTTGACCCTGTGTCAAATCGGGTTTCTCCGACTAGTCGGAATTTGACGCCGTCGAGGAGAGGCGATGATTTGATTCTCCGTGTTGATTAGTAGATATTGTTTTCTTTGATGGGTATGATCTGGGATTAACGCCATCATGAGAGTTTGCTTCTGTATATTACCATGTTCTTTCATACGGGTGGAGAGCTTTTGAATTTTTTGAATTTGTTTGTATTGCAGGAGAACATCCAATTGTATAGAAATTCGACAACCTGAAGATCGACTTGGCTCGTATTAATAGACTACATCTTACATTTCTTCAAATTTGAATCACTTCAGCTCTCAAAAATCAGTTTTCAAAAATAAAAAAATAAAAAAATAAAAAAATAAAAAATAAAAGAAGGAAACGTGAAAACGCGTCAGGCGTACAGGCCTGCAGTCCAGGCATTGGTGGGGCTTAGATAAGAAGCTGGGGTCCGGTCCCGCCAAAAAGAGTAGAAAATCCATTATCCGCACACATCCTCTACATCCTTTTACATCATCTTCCGGCCTGTGCGGACTTCAATAGCACAATCGTCCTGTTGGTCCATGCTCAATGGCCAGTCCAACGGAGCGGACGTTCGTCCAGAGATCCACATCACTGCCAATCTTTCCCCTGGAGCTCTGGGATATCATCATTGAATACCTACATGATGAAGAATCTGCCCAACATCTGAGCCGACTTGCTCAAACATGTCCTGCGCTTTATTCCAGAATTGACCCTCAGCTCTACAGAAAACCCGTACGCCTGTTCAATTCAGAAAGCGGTGCTCGTCTTGCTCTCACAATAGAGAAGCGTCCAGAGTTAGCACCACTCATTCGTGAGATTCGACACAAGCAGGATGCTGGGTCAGAATTCTGGTCTTGCCGTCATTTTAAATTTTATAAGACGGCTGTGACTTTACCGAATCTGGAGAACTTGACTTTGAGAAGAAATCCCAGGCCCTTTGATTCTACTCGGTGGGCCAGTACACATGCCAGAGATGAAGCCACGTTGCAATGGGTGAAAAATATTGGCTCTGGACCAGGGAGCGTCAAAGAGTACCGAGAGTTGGGATATGGGCCTTCAGGAGAATCGTCGTTCAGTCCTCCAGATAACGAGCTTGGTTATATGCGAGATGGCGCGGTCGAAACTTTGTTCTGGCACGCTTCTCTTCAACACCCGCCGGGGCTGCCCGCTCTGCGTGTTTGTGAGTATTACAACTGACTCTCTCCGCTGAATGGAAAATCTAATGTTATCAGGTCACATCGGAAGCGACTATGATCACAACGAGAACAATCCTAAGATGGATGGCAGATGCTTACCAATTTTCAATGAAGCACTCTTCTGTCATCCAGGTTTAAGAAAGCTCTGTATCACTGGCGCTACTTTCCGAACGTCCCAGTCTGGCCTTGCGCTAACAACCTCTAAATCGCCTCTGGAGGAACTAACCCTTTTGAACTGCATCATAAATCCGGCTGATCTCCAAACAGTCCTCGAATACCCAACAGCCTTGAAGCGGTTCACATTCAGAGGCCCTAGGTCACAGGAGATATTAGACCTTGAGGAAGAAGCCCAATGTTACATTCAGTCGGCGCTCGCACACGACAATTCCCTGGAGTATATAGATTACGATCTTTACTGGGGTGGTGATGAGGAGACAGACTTCGGTGAACTAGTCCGCCTCA